GAATCACTCTATCTATTAAAAAAAACCGCATCAAAATCCGTTGCGTAGTTTTAAAGATCTAAGCATACATACGGACATACAGCGAAAGCGACTTTGTTTTATACTATGTATTGATAGTGACTAGTGATAGGTATCAAGTCGCCGCTTCACCAAAGTTAACCATTAGACCATGACTTACGTAATACTATAATAGTACGAGAGATGACGACCAAAACCATGTCTCATAGCAATACGGCAAAGACCCTATAAAATCGTTAGATTGTATGATTCTGAACCCGACTAGGTGTGTAGTAACGGTCGAAAGTGTAGCAACTGCATGGGAGGCCATTTCTGCTGTGTCAAAAATATCTGAGTATCGAAAAGTTGTCTGATAGAGAAGGTGCTACATTTATTTTGTCTGATATACATTTTTTGCACATGAGGACAACTTATTTTATCATGTCCAACAATTTTCAGACATATTGCCATGATACCGATCGGTAAAATTTGTTAACATTTTCAAAACGGTCTCAATATTTAATGCGTTCACATTTCCGTCTGAAAATTGTTTTGTTCGCATCAAATAACCAAAATTTACTAATAAAAAAGGTTTTCAGACGTATTGCTATGAGACTTTGTCTGGTGTTTTTGTGGTCAGATCAAACGCTACGCGGAAAATGTCTGATATTGGTATTTTCGAGTTCAGGATAATCGTATCTATCGATTTGAGGCGGTTTTGGCCGTATTGCTATGAGACAAAAATTTTGATCGTCATCTCTCTAACTATAAGTATGAAGCTTCTTCTTATGATTTCAAAATATACGTACCTATGTATATATTAAATGTTATGTCTTGTAAAATGCATTTGTTGGATGAATAAAAGAATGTACTTATCGTATAAGCGATTGTATGCGTAATGGAATGATATTATCGATTTTGTTTGTTTGTGTGTTTTTCTTATTAATGTAATTGTGTTTTTGTAGCTCTGTACCGGATCATAAAGGATTTCACGGTCCGACTGTCGACCATGATAGTCCAGTTTTATTCGGGATTTTGGCTCATCCTGATAATAAGGTAATTTAGTACTTTTTATTTATTTATTTATTAACACTTCTGTATAACAAACATACGATGGCGGACTTAATGCCGGATGGCATTCTCTAACAGTCAACCATGGGGTGAGCAGAGATGTGCAACAGTAGGTGTAATAGGTATATTGGTTTAATTTATGTGACACAAAAAATTCTATATAAATAAATTAATGATTATGCATAACTGTAAATACATACATATATCCGTATATATAGGTATAATATAAATTACATAAGATACATTATCAATATTACTAAATAACAATACTATAAAAGTAAATAAATAATTTCTATTTGTAAATTAAAGTTAATATAAAAATGACATAACATAACATCATGCCTATTATCCCCGAAGGGGTAGGCAGAGGTGCACATTACGGCACTTAATGCCACTGTACAATGTAACACCCAATTTTCACTATTTATGTTATGAGTCCCATGTAGTAGGGAGTGAGCGTATTGCCATATACCGGACACATTTCCAGACTCTGAGCTACTGTTGAGGTTTTTTAAAAACCGAGTAATACTTTGCTCGACTCGGGAATCGAATCCGATACCCCTTGTTCGGCAGTCGCACATGCGACCACTCAGTCAACGAGGCAATAATTTGGTAAATCCTCAAAATTCGAAAAAGACCCAGTAGGTAATACTTTTCGATTCGGGTATTGAAGACGTCTTCCACAACCACTTTACCAACGAGACAACTGATTGATAAACTTTATGAACATACTTTTTGATTTGTAGCTTCTATCCTGTCCCCCTGCGATGCGGTTTGTGATCACTTCAGTGGGTGGTAAGCAGAGACGTCTGTTATTGCGAGGAGATTCAGCCGGGGTGGTCTCTGTGTGGAATGTAGACGATGCAGCCGTGCCTACTCCTAATCAGATGCCTTGTGAGTATATTTGGTAAATATTTTCTTGGGTAGTGGGTGTATATAGACTGATTGATCGATTTTTTTTATTTCATCGATTGGTTTTTTTTTTTTTTTTTAAACGTTGCCCCACACTAGGATTTTCTCCTGTGTCGTGGGTGCGTTTACAAACATACAAGTTCACATACACATTGACACCCAGACCCGAAACAACAATTTGTGGATCACGCAAAGTGTTGTTCCGTGCGGGAATCGAACCCGCGACACGTTGCACGGCAGCCGGTTGCCCAGCCACCGCACCAACCGTGCAGTCATATTCCCAGGCATCTCTTTTTTCAAAGTCAAAGTCAAAGCATTTATTTCAATTAAACCATAGTTTGGTACTTTTGAAACGTCAACAAATACAAAATAAATAATAGTCTGTCAGTCAGTCCGTCAGTGAAGCTAGGTGAAGCTAGGTGCTCATTCCAAAATGTAGATTCGAATGGAGAAGAACGAGCAAGAAACTCCATTCGTTACTCTTTTTAAAAAGTATGTTCTACAATGTCTCTGATACATATTCCGATTGGAAATTTTGATACTGGTATCTTCCAAGGAGATTTAGAAGTATGTTTTGTTAATAACTATTGTGAGATATACTGAATTAACTAAAAATCGCGGGTTACTCACGTGAATATACTGAGAAAAGCTCTACTAGTTACTACGCGGTCGTGGCGACGTCGCGCACGCTGCTCATAAGGAAGAACCCCTCTGTGGTTCGTAACCCGCGATTTAAGTTAATTGATTAAAATCTAATTGTGTACTCGCCAACTAGTCAAATTCAATACTTTTTTCGAACTGTCAAAAACGACAGTTTTCTATGAATTTTGTACGAGATTGTGTATTGTGACGTCACGTTTTTTTAGCGTCAAACAGCGTACTTATTTCTTAAAAAATTGCTGGAAAAATACTAAAATTAATTTGTTCGTAAAATCGATTAATTAAAGTGTGATTATTATGTTCTAATATTTTATTGTATTATTAGATTTTTCGGCTTACTCACGTAATTATTTGTCGAGGAACTCGACTAGTTTCAAGCCATGCTAGAGGTTCATATTCATGAGCAGCATTCTGCGACCGGCGACATGTCGACTGTCGCGCTGCTCTTATTGTCTCACGAAAATTTACAATATAAAATCTTAATTGTATATTTCTGTTAACAGCGCACGCGCCAATAGTGATGACTAGTTTGGACATTGCCTGGGAGGACATGAACCCCAGTCCCGTCGGTATACTCGATCAACTGAATCATCCGGAGGAACAAGGTGCGATTATTTTGATATAATGTACTTTAAAGCCTGTTATTTTAAGTGTGTAGACAGAAATATTATTTTATCTATGTTATCGGATACTTGCTTGATAGTAATAATTCTTTTATAAATAACGTTTCGAAAAACCGACTACAAACCCCTCTTTATCCCGAGCGTACGGCGCGTCGCGTTCCGCGTGCGCCTCAAAGAGCCATCAGACCACCACGGATGGGGCCCAATAGGGCTGATGCCGATACGGAGTCGCGGAGAACCTAACGGGTAACTGGGGCTGCGGCTCGAAGTGCAGGAGTAGGAACGGGGTGGTTTTTAGTCAGTAAGAGTTATGACACTCCCTCCCGCCTCACCCAGGCGGGAGTGAGTCATTCGATGATTTTTCCCCCCTTAAAAAAACCCCTCTTTATGATGTCGGTTAATTAATATACTTAAACCTTCTTTCTCCTAAGTGTACCAAACACTTTTGTGGAAACAGCATCAAAATCGGTTCAGCCAATCGCGAGGTAATAAAACTGAGAACATCGTATTTTTTCATTTTGGTTAAAAAATTGTACCACCATCCAACCTATCCATAAATATTTATAAAGAAACTCAAACGTATGTTTATCTTTTTTTATTTTCCATGGATTGGCGTCTTTATGACGATTGGTATTAATAAAACAAATGTTTTGTCAAAGAATATATTATTATAATGTTATTTGACGGACTAGGGACTACATAATAATGTAACAGATTATAAACGGCTCGTGCAAATTTTATGAATGTTGCTACAATGGTAAATGGAAACAGAGACAACTTGAGATACTTTAAGTGTAGGAGAGCCATGCTTCGTCACGAATGCGCCGGCTCGACCGGAGTGATACCACGGCCGAGCAGAAAATTGACGTGAAACAACGCTTGTGTTGTGTTTCGTCGTGTGAGTGAGGTTACTGGATACACAATTACCCCCCTCCCCCCCAGGAAGGGTAAGGAGTACGCTACTAAATGTCTCTGAGTCCGTAGTAATACACTTTAATTGTCACCAAAAACACCAATATATTTTTTCTTAATATTAATGCATTTGTTGCAGAAATCAAGTTAACAGCGTCAATATACCTACTAGCGGCCAATCGTTTGGTGGTAGGCAGAGAAGATGGCTCTATAGTCATCGTGAATGCAACTCATACCGTGCAACTGCAACTCTTGCACGGCAACCATCAGCAACTTGATGGTAAGTTTGTACAACAAAACCTTCGGCTTTATGACATGTCCACTGGTGGACTATGAGCCTTCTAAAAGACGGTTTGGCAGGGTAGAGTATGTTAGTCACCACCGTTGCTCTTGCAGTGGGTGTCGTATACCTGACTAAAGGACTACACATTAGACAGAAGCCTAGCAGTAGCGCTCTCTGATAAACCAGTGCCTTTAGCCAAACGCCACGCTAGCGCTTGTCTACAGAGAGAGTAGAAATAAAAATGTATGGGGATGACACTGACAACTGTCAAAATTTACGTCAATTCCATATAATTTGGTTTTCTATTCTACATGCAGACAAGCGTTAAATGGCATTTGGCTACAGCTGCTGACTATTTTAACGCCAACCAAGCGAGATTATGGCAAACCCTTTTATGCAAAGGACGCTCATAGTCCATTCTTCATTATCTATTGTCCTCCAACCAGTTTGCCAAGCTAGGAGATAATTGGTAATTCCTCTTATGTTAAGGAAGCACTTGGCTTATAGTGGGCTGTCGCAAGGTGTTGATTTAGCGTAGAGAGGGAACGAAAATATCGCTGTCTCATTCGCAAAAATGCATTTCTATTAAAGATCTACTATGATTGAAAATTTCTTCATTATTTATTTTTTTATTTAAAAAACCGTTGCCCCACACTCGGATTGTCTTCTGTGTCGTGTACGTTTACAAACATACAAGTTCACATACACATCACGCCCAGACCCGGAACAACAATCTGTGGGTCACACAAAGAGTTGCTCCGTACGGGAATCTAACCTGCGACACGTTGCGCGGCAGCCGGTTGCCCAGTCACCGCGCCAATATAATGTATGTTTGGTTTCAGATTGGCCTCCACACCAGTTGTTATTAGGACACAACGGTCGAGTCAATTGTCTGTTGTACCCTCACCATGTACACCAGAGGTAAGTCATTTCATTGTCTCGATAACTGTTTAGCAAGCGACGTGATTGGTTATCATAATCTTATATCTTACTAGCTTTTACCCGTGGCTTCGTTCGCATCACAAAAGGATAAAAGTAGCCTAAGTGACATATACCAATACACACAGCGCCATCTATACCAATAATTTCGTTTTCCCTCAAGAATATCACATTTTACCGGGATAAAAAGTACCCTATTATTTAATACAGACTTCTAACTTTACGTCTGCAAAAATTCAAAGCAATCGGTTTAGTAGTTACGGCGTGAAAGCGGAACAAACAAACAAACTCACTTTCCGATTTATAATATTAGTAAGGAATATACTATTATATAAAGCGGAAGAGTTTGTTTTTTTGTTTGTTTGTTTGAACGTGCTAATCTCCGTAACTACAGGTCTGATTTGAATAAGTATTTTTGTGTTGGATAGCGCATTTATTGAGGATGGCTATAGGCTATAAAACATCACATTGCGACCAATAGGCGCTGAGTAGTGGATGCAAGTTTAACTACAACATTATAATTTTTTAACAGATACGACAAGTCCCATCTAGTTTCTGGAGGTATAGACTTCGCAGTGTGTCTATGGGACCTGTTCAGTGGCGCCCTCTTACATCGCTTCTGTGTACACGCGGGGGAGATCACACAACTTATTGTGCCGCCCCATAATTGTAGTGTAAGTATATTTTAATATATGTATTTTAATTTTTTTTTCAGTTGACACTAAATTTTATAACGTTTTAAATTGCTGCGCCCTAACAGGATAATGTACTGAATTAGTTATATGTAATACTTCCTATTATATGTACATACATTGTGCAATATGAATAAATAAATAAATAAATCTAAATCATATTTATGTAATCATGGGTTTGCTCGACAGAAATTAAAAAATTGTTGAACGATTTTTGCATCAGTATATCTGTTCTCAATTTTTAAGCTTAGGAATCGTTCCCACTAATTTAGGTAACATCCTATTTCGGAAAAATCTGTAGATTGTATATTTTGCGACATTTAAAAACCAGTGTTTAGCTATGGTAATCAATGTGTGTATGTATTTTTGTTTCAGCCTCGTATTCAGAAGTGCATCTGTTCAGTCGCTTCAGACCACAGCGTCACTTTACTCAGTAAGTGCTTATTTAGATTTTATTTTCATTTTTTCTTCTAGAATAAGCCGGTAAACGAGCAGACGGATCACCTGATGATAAGCAATCGGCGTCGCCCATGGACACCTGGAACACCAGAGGCGTTGCAAGTGCGTTACTGGCCTTTTGGGGATTGGGAATTTGAGGGTTGTTGGGGATTCGGGGATCGCCATTAATAGAATGGATGACCAAAAATAATTTAAAAATAAATATTGACAAAACTAAAATAATGACATTTGAACAAAAAACTAATCACAATAAACTTGACATTAGATACAAAGACAAAATAATTGCAGAAACAGTATCCACGAAATTCCTAGGAATAGAACTAGACAGAGACATGTCATGGCAAACTCACACAAATACCATATGTAAGCGACTGAATAAGCAGTCATACGCCCTATACAAACTCGCAAAAGAAGTAAACCAGAGTATTGTCATCACGGCGTATCATGCATGTGTGACATCGATATTACGATATGGTATTATTTTTTGGGGTAGTTCCTCGAATACAGACATAGTATTTAAAGCACAAAAGAGATGTGTTAGGGCAATATGCGGTATTCAAACAACAGACAGTTGTAAACCGTATTTTGAAAAATTACGTATATTAACATTACCATGTCTGTACATATATGAGGTAGCAATGTTTGTGAAAGGGAACCCTAGACTATTTGAAACATTAAAAAGCGTGCGAAACAAAAATAAAATCCGTTATAGACAACACAAGAAAGCAATCTTCCACAAGAGCTTTTTAGGGATGGCACCATCGATATATAACAGACTACCTAAACATTTACTCGAAACCAGGGAAATCAATGTGTTTAAAGTAGAACTGAATAAATTTCTAATAAAAAAGGCATACTATTCGATAAAAGAATATTTAACAAACGTCATAATATGACTACAGAAATATTGACATATTGTTAATTTTATTGTACTTTTATTTCTTGACATTGATTAATATTGTATAATTATGACTTACCTATTTGATATTTGAATTTTTCTTTATTAATTTTTAAGTATGTTGTTGTGCTTTAGTAATAACTTGTAAAGTGTTGACTGAACTCATAACTAATAAAATTGCTGTGATCTGGAACTCGTCAATTGTAATTTACGAATAATAGTTTCATGCCTTGATTGGTGGAACATGATGAACTGCGCATTCATATATCATCTTGAAATGCATCAAAATGTACTGTGTTCAGCAATAAAGATATTTGATTTGATTGATTTGATTTGATTTGAACACCCACTTTTCACTATTTATGTTACGAGTCCCATGTATTAGGGGGTGAGCTTCAGACTCCGTGCTTCAGACTGAGAATTTTATTTGAGAAACCTCAGTAATATTTTACTCGGCCCGGGAATCGAACCCGAGACCCCTTGCCCGGCAGTCGCTCTTAAAACCACTCGGCTAACGACGCAGTCATAATTATTATTAACCCATATTTCTCCCTACAGGTCTGACAGAACGGAAATGCGTGACGTTAGCGTCCCGTCATCTATTCCCCGTGTTGACAATAAAATGGCGGCCGGCGGATGACTTCATGGTGGTGGGCTGCAGTGATGGAACTGTCTTCGTCTGGCAGATGGAGACTGGACATGTGGATAGGGTACTACATGGTAAGTTTGAGAGGTGGAGGGGGAGGGGGTGTGAGTCGGGGTGTGGGGTGTGGTATTTGAGTAGATGGAAGGGGTGATAAATGGAGAGAGGAGATGGAATGAGTAAGAGTGAAAGAGAATAGAGGATGAAGAGTTTTGGCACAGTAAGCTCCTCTTATAAGATACAGTCGCGACATGCCAAGGGAGGTTGAGGCACTGAGGGGGGTCGAGTAGGAAATAATTAAGTGTAAAGAGGGTAACAGGAAAAGAAAAGGGGGTCAACGGGCAGAATGGGTAGGATTGAAATACGGAATAGAAAAGAGACGAAGAAAATGTTTAAAAGTAAAAGAAGGTTGTTGTTGTGTCTAGGCATGATAGCGGAAGAGGTGCTAGCGGCCTGTGATGAAGCGTTAGCTGATGACCTCGGGGGGTCATTGTCTACAGGTTCCAGTGATGGGCTGGCTAACCCAGCTGTACACTTCTTCAGGTTGGTATTAGTACAATTTTCAGTAATTTTTTTTACGGGATAAGCCAGTAAACGAGCAGACGGATCACCTGATGGTAAGCAATCGGCGTCGCCCATGGACACCTGGAACACCAGAGGTGTTACAAGTGCGTTACCGGCCTTTTGGGATTAGGAATTTGAGGATTGTTGGGGATTCAAGGATTGGGGAAAAATGGGGGGTAATTGGGCCTCCGGGAACCTCACTCACACGACGAAACACATTTTATTATATTAAAAATGAGCAGCATTCCGCGAACCGCTACGCGGTGACTGTCGCGCTGCTTCTGAATATGAGCTTCTAGCATGGCTTGAAACCAGTCGAATTCCTCGTCAAACAGTTACGTGAGTAAGCCGAAAACATAATAATTAATTAATTTGATTGGTGTACTTTGTTTTCTGGTTCTCGCGTAATAAAGCGAAATTGATTCTTCCATATTAATATGTAGCGGTGTTTATTGAGCTGTGGATGTTTTTCGAATGATTTAAGTTAGTTTTCATGAACATATCTTTAATTTTAAAACTTTGACTGCCAATAAAAAACTGTTGAAGGTAAATCCTCCACTGACACCGGTTACCGGTGACCCCCACGGCGTTTAACGTGTTAAGAAACGCCTAAGCTAGAATATTTCATAATCTTTTATACGACCATACTTTACTAATTGACCAAATATATAAAAAAAATATTTGTCATGGTATGGAAGAGAAGAAACGCTAGAGGCTCCACTTTTTTACCCTCAAGTGTACAGTCAAAGGTCAAAAGTCCACTGCCACCGTGAGTGATGTTTACACGGCAATGCGTAAGTAATTTCATATGAATGTGCATAAAAACGCGTGCGTAGGTACGCATAAACACACGCACGCGTACGCACACTTATAAAAATATGCGTGTGCATGTGTGTATAAGCGCTGCAGCGCAACCGATAGTAGTCTTACAGTGGCAGTGGACTTTTGACCTTTAACCGTACATACAGTCCACGATAGTTATCACATCTCATACTAAAAATAATGATGGCGAATACTCTTTCTCCCACAGAGGCCTCCGCCATCGCAACTTGACAGCAATGCGCGCGGCCACCCAGCGCGGGCTGGCGGCCCTGCAACACAGCGGCCCGGCCGGCAGCGCCGGGCCGCTCGCCGAGCCCGCGCGGGCCCGTCGCGCGCAGCTCACCGTGCAGGGCTTCCGGAGCAATCCTGCTGGTCAGTCAGATACATTGTCAAATCAGACACAAGTCCATTAACCTCAGATAGGCCTTCCAAAATGACTTTCGGATAGGTTTTGGAAGCCGCGTGCATCTATTATTACGTCATGTATTCGCCATCATCACATATATCAGTCATTAGATTCCACTATTTCACATTAGACCTCCCCCAGGACATCTAGTCATCAATTTGCATGAGTTTTTATGGTATAAATATAGAGAGGCGGACGGATCACACGATGGTAAGCAATCAGCGTCGCCCAGGGCATCCGTAACACTACAGGAGGACAAATGTGCTCAAGGAGCCATCAGACCACCAAAGATGGACCCAGTAGGGCTAATGCCGATACGGAGCCGCGGAAGGCCCGTTCCCGAGGCTTCGGCTCTATGCAGGAGTAAGAACGGGTTATGTTTAGTCAGCGAGAGCCTAACATTCTCTCTCGCTTCACCTAATAATAAGGCACATAATAATAATATTTGGTTGTTTTATAGCTTTCCTATAAATGAATTTAATTATTCTCTCCAGACCCCGAAAGTCACATTCTGTTCTTCGACATCGAGGGTCTGATAGTGGAACTCCTCAGCGAGGAGTACTCCGCCATGAGTCCTGCTAGTTTGGAGGTAAATCTAGAAGTCTAATTTTGTGATCATTATCATCTTCAATTATCGTGCTGTTGAACATAAAACTTCCTTATTTTATTGATTAAGCTTTTAGCGTAAAATTAGTACGATTCATACAACTTGCGCTTGATAGATGGCGTTGGAGACGTTTTAGATCCTTTACTAACTTTATTACTTCTATCTTTATTAAGTTAACCGCTTTATGGAATTATCTATAAATATAGTTGGAAGTAAGTAAAAACTAAATCTATGTAAATAAAAATAAATTTCCGTTCGATAGTCTCGGTAAAACTCGAGAACGGTTGAACCGATTTGGGTAATTAGGGTCTTGACATATTCGTGGAAGTACAGGGAAAGTTTAAATGGTGAGAAAAATAATCTTAGATGGTACAAAGTTTGCGGGGTCAGGAAGTAGATTAATAAAAAATAGTGTATTCATATAAATACATCGAAAAAGTACCTTAGAGCAAAGTTGTAGACCTCAAAAGTCTGTATAAAAATGGTCCCTATGATTTTTTCTCTAAGACTCACTATTTCCTAAATATTGCGCTTGAGACGGAGCTTTGATTTCACTGCACGGTTGGAGCGGTGGCTGGGGGCTGCCGTGCAACGTGTCGCGGGCTCAATATTCGCACGGAGCAACCCTCTGTGTGATCCACAAATTGTTGTTGAAATTATATGTAAACACTCACGACACATGAGAAAATCCTAGTGTAGGGGCAACGTTTAAAAATAATCGTAATAAGTGATAAGGGAGGTGAAAAGACGATATTATACAAGCGGTCGGCAAACAGTAGATGGAGACGGCGAAGAATGGATAAATGGAAATCTCTAGAGGAGGACGATCACCTTCGAGAACGAGGGGTTGTTACATAAATAGTAAATTTTATAAAATAGTTAATTTTAGAATTACAGATTAGGAATAGATGTATAAAATTAGAAATAAGTTTATCTTTGTATTTTTTGTAAGAAATATTAGGCATTTTTTATATAAGGATTTTATTTATATATTTATTTAAGTGATGAGGGATAGTCGCCGGTGTGTGTGTCCATTACAATTAGATTAAAGTTGTCTAAAGGGCCTCTGCACAGTTGGCTTCGGCCCCTCGTACACCTCCCAAATGACCGGACCCTGTGGTCCCGTGAATGATAAATACACATAAAAATAACAAACGGTGAAAGAAAACATCGTGAGAAAACCAGGGTGCTTACTCTTGAAACCAATCTCAATGTCAATGTAATTTCAATCCAATAACATCTCAATAATTATTCAATGTCAAAACTATACAACCCCTATCGTACCTGTTAAAATAGCATTCAGAGTACGGAATATAAAGCCGAACTCAATACCATTTAGTTCATTCAATATCCACGCAATACGGATGCAATGGGCGCTAGTGTTGCAACTCGAGAGTACGAGATTTCACAATACTAATGTCGATCGATCGGAATTGGATTCAAGAGTAAGCCCTTTGGACTTATAATTTCTATTATAGGTTTGAAATTGCCAACCCGCATTGAGCGAGCGTGGTGATTAATGCTCAAACCTTCTCCGTGTGAGAAGAGGCCATTAGTCAGCAGTAGCCACTTATAGGCTGTTGATGATGTATTAATGAATATATTTCCTCCAGGCGGCCGGTCTAATAACAAGCGAGTACATGAAGGTGGCAGCCCTGACGCAGTCTGCCAGCCCTGACGCCACCAAGAGAATATCAGGTGATTACTAATTTTTTTAATTGTTCAGTAAATTCGATATATTTACTGGAAACGTCGGTATAATATACTACTTTGATATCTAGTGTATTATAAAAATATGGTTTAAATTTACTTGATCGAGTCAGTTAATCTATTATACTCAACATGTCAAACGATTGTGAACTTTAAGTGATTGTTAATAAGGTCTAAAATCATAAAATTTCCTAAAATATTAATATAATATTATATGTATGTATGTCTGTGTTACCATGCTACCAAACGGATAGACTTCTTTGGCCGTGTCAAGGACAAGGCCGGAGATATGGAACGGATATTAAAAGAAAAAGATAAACATGGTGGGTATTCACTTAAAAGGAAATTCTATTTGAAAGGTCTCGGGTTCGATTCCTGTGTCGTATACAGCGGTTTTTTGAATTTTAAATGCTGGAAATTAAGAGACGTTAATGTCTGCCTCGTTGGTTTAATGAATGTATGTCATTGTATGTACGACTACAGTGCTAGGGTGTCTGCTTCGATTCCTGGGTCGAGCATATTCTGGAATTGGTCTGATATTTTACGGCTTACTTAACTATTTGACAAGGTAACCCGACCACCGATACTAAGAACTATAGTGATAAGCAACATTGCGACCGTCGCGGAATCAAGAGCGTGAGGCTTGAAACTAGTCGAGATGCCTCGTCAAACGGTTGCATGACTAAGGACCGATTTTTTCATCAACAGATAATTCTTAAACTGTAGAATAAAATTGACATTTCACTGTTTTTAATATGGAAGAACAGTCAAATGTTCAAAATTATTTCTCTAATAAAATATATCTGGCGTTGAAAAATCGACCTTAAGCCGTTAAACTTTACGGTTAATTTAGCATACCTCATGCTACTTAAAATACAAAATAGAGACAAATAATAATATTATATTATTTACAATAGTCCTACACTAACCGGGGACTGCCCTTGGGTGCATTTCCATAGTGCATACAGGGATAGTCGCCGGTTTGTGTGTCCATTACATTTATATTAAAGTTGTCTAAAGGGCCTCTGCGCAGTTGGCTTCGGGCCCTCGTACGCCTCCCAAATGACCGGGACCCTGTGGTCCCGTGAATGGTAAAGACATCAATAATAATATTATTTTTTTTAAGGTGTAAATATTTTAGTTCATAAATATTTATATTTTAAGTTGTACATATTTTCATTTAGTACTAGTTAATATTAATTTTATTTATGTCTATTGAATAATTAGAGATATTTTAATATTCTTCTCCTATGCAGGTATACTGGCTAAAATGAAAGAGGGAGCTGAAACTATGCAGACGAAGCTTCAGGCGAAGGCTGAGCAACTGAAAGGTCATATTGACAACAAAGGTAGGTGATTTTTCAGGGAGAGGTCTTCAGTGAAAATATTTGTAGTGCAGCGCCGCGCTACCCTAGGAGGGAAAATTTTTTCGACTTTTTAAATATTTTCTCACATTCGACGTTACTCTCAATTGATCGCATTCCTGGTGGGGATCGAACCCACGAACCTTTCGATTAGAAGTCCAACGCGCTATCCTCTGCGCCACAGGGACTGTCGATTTCGTGAGGTATTTACGTGTATATTTTGCAATTTTTTTTCGACACTTGTAGTGTTGCGGATGTTTTCATTAATTTTCTGTGATATTTATTAAT